CATAACCAAACTTAGAAAACCCCAATTTCTCTTTTTTTTTGTTTGAAATTTTTTTTGATATATTAAAAAAAAATTAATTTCCCCTGACAGGTTGATGTCTAGACAGGTTGATGTCAAATGAGAAGTTGATGTCACTGACTGTTTGACGTCACTGACTGGTCATGTCACCGACAAGTAACGTTACTGACAGGTCATGTCACCGACAGGTTATGTCACTGATAGGTAGCGTCGCTGACAGGTAATGTCACTGACAGGTTATGTCACTGACAGGTCATGTCACTGACAGGTCATGTCACTGACAGGTCATGTCACTGACAGGTCATGTCACTGACAGGTCATGTCACTGACAGGTCATGTCACTGACAGGTCATGTCACTGACAGGTCATGTCACTTACAGGTCATGTCACTTACAGGTCATGTCACTTACAGGTCATGTCACTGACAGGTCATGTCACTGACAGGTCATGTCACTGACAGGTCATGTCACTGACAGGTCATGTCACTTACAGGTCATGTCACTGACAGGTCATGTCACTGACAGGTCATGTCACTGACAGGTAATGTCACTGACAGGTCATGTCACTGACAGGTCATGTCACTGACAGGTCATGTCACTTACAGGTCATGTCACTTACAGGTCATGTCACTGACAGGTCATGTCACTGACAGGTCATGTCACTGACAGGTCATGTCACTGACAGGTCATGTCACTTACAGTTCATGTCACTGACAGGTCATGTCACTGACAGGTCATGTCACTGACAGGTCATGTCACTGACAGGTCATGTCACTGACAGGTCATGTCACTTACAGGTCATGTCACTGACAGGTGATGTCACTGACAGGTGATGTCACTGACAGGTCATGTCACTGACAGGTCATGTCACTGACAGGTCATGTCACTGACAGGTCATGTCACTGACAGGTCATGTCACTGCTTCTCATATTCAGCTTCAACAAATTATTTCTCGACATGAGTTCTATGTATTTGACGATGATCAGTGACGAACATGTAGTGTGTGCACACCTGTACAGCTGTTGTGTACACCTGTACAGCTGTTGTGTACACCTGTACAACTGTTGTGTACACCTGTACAGCTGTTGTGTACACCTGTACAGCTGTTGTGTACACCTGTACAGCTGTTGTGTACACCTGTACAGCTGTTGTGTACACCTGTACAACTGTTGTGTACACCTGTACAGCTGTTGTGTACACCTGTACAGCTGTTGTGTACACCTGCTACAGCTGTTGTGTACACCTGTACAGCTGTTGTGTACACCTGTACAGCTGTTGTGTACACCTGTACAGCTGTTGTGTACACCTGTACAGCTGTTGTGCACACCTGTACAGCTGTTGTGTACACCTGTACAGCTGTTGTGCACACCTGTACAGCTGTTATGTACATCTGTACAGCTGTTGTGTACACCTGTTACAGCTGTTTGTACACCTGTACAGCTGTTTTGTACACCTGTACAGCTGTTGTGTACATCTGTATAGCTGTTGTGTACACCTGTACAGCTGTTGTGTACACCTGTTACAGCTGTTTGTGTACACCTGTACAGCTGTTGTGTACACCTGTACAGCTGTTGTGTACACCTGTACAGCTGTTGTGTACACCTGTACAGCTGTTGTGTACACCTGTACAGCTGTTGTGTACACCTGTACAGCTGTTGTGTAAAACCTGTACAAACTGTTGTGTACACCTGTACAGCTGTTGTGTACACCTGTACAGCTGTTTGTGTACACCTGTACAGCTGTTGTGTACACCTGTACAGCTGTTGTGTACACCTGTACAGCTGTTGTGTACACCTGTTACAGCTGTTGTGTACACCTGTACAGCTGTTGTGCACACCTGTACAGCTGTTGCGTACACCTGTACAGCTGTTGTGTACACCTGTACAACTGTTGTGTACACCTGTACAGCTGTTGTGTACACCTGTACCGCTGTTGTGTACACCTGTACAGCTGTTGTGTACACCTGTACAGCTGTTGTGTACACCTGTACAACTGTTGTGTACACCTGTACAGCTGTTGTGTACACCTGTACAGCTGTTGTGTACACCTGTACAGCTGTTGTGTACACCTGTACAGCTGTTGTGTTACACCTGTACAGCTGTTGTGTACACCTGTACCAGCTGTTTGTACACCTGTACAGCTGTTGTGTACACCTGTACAGCTGTTGTGCACACCTGTACAGCTGTTGTGTACACCTGTACAGCTGTTGTGCACACCTGTACAAGCTGTTATGTACATCTGTACAGCTGTTGTGTACACCTGTTTCAGCTGTTGTGTACACCTGTACAGCTGTTGTGTACACCTGTACAGCTGTTATGTACATCTGTATAGCTGTTGTGTACACCTGTACAGCTGTTGTGTACATCTGTACAGCTGTTGTGTACATCTGTACAGCTGTTATGTACATCTGTACAGCTGTTGTGTACACCTGTACAGCTGTTATGTACATCTGTACAGCTGTTGTGTACACCTGTACAGCTGTTGTGCACACCTGTACAGCTGTTATGTACATCTGTACAGCTGTTGTGTACACCTGTACAGCTGTTGTGCACACCTGTACAGCTGTTATGTACATCTGTACAGCTGTTGTGTACACCTGTACAGCTGTTGTGTACATCTGTACAACTGTTGTGTACATCTGTACAGCTGTTATGTACATCTGTACAACTGTTGTGTACATCTGTACAGCTGTTGTGTACACCTGTACAACTGTTGTGTACATCTGTACAACTGTTGTGTACATCTGTACAACTGTTGTGTACATCTGTACAACTGTTGTGTACATCTGTACAACTGTTGTGTACATCTGTACAGCTGTTGTGCACACCTGTACAGCTGTTGTGCACACCTGTACAGCTGTTGTGTACACCTGTACAGCTGTTGTGTACACCTGTACAGCTGTTGTGCACACCTGTACAGCTGTTGTGCACACCTGTACAGCTGTTGTGTACACCTGTACAGCTGTTGTGCACACCTGTACAGCTGTGCACACCTGTACAGCTGTTGTGCACACCTGTACAGCTGTTGTGCACACCTGTACAGCTGTTGTGCACACCTGTACAGCTGTTGTGCACACCTGTACAGCTGTGCACACCTGTACATCTGCTGTGTACACCCGTACAACTGTTGTGTACACCTGTACAGCTGTTATGTACAGCTGCTGTGTACACCCGTACAACTGTTGTGTACACCTGTACAGCTATGTACAGCTGTGTACACCTGTACATCTGTTGTGTTCAGCTGTTGTGTACACCTGTACAAGTGATATATACAGCTGTGTGTCTGTACAGCTGTTGTGTACACCTGTACAACTGTTGTGTACACCTGTACAACTGTTGTGTACACCTGTACAACTGTTAGGCACGCCTCTCCAAGTGATGTGTGTAGCTGCTGTGTACATCTGTACAGCTGTTGTGTACACCTATACAGCTGTTGTGTACACCTATACAACTGTTGTGTACACCTGTACAACTGTTGTGTACACCTATACAACTGTTGTGTACACCTGTACAGCTGTTGTGTGTATACCTGTACAATATAACGGAGATAAAACACCTCAATTACTGGGAGTGCTTGAGGTTTCTAAACCTGTATTCCCTGGAACGCAGGAGGGAGAGATACATGATTATATACACCTGGAAAATCCTAGAGGGACTAGTACCGAACTTGCACACGAAAATCACTCACTACGAAAGCAAAAGACTTGGCAGACGATGCACCATCCCCCCAATGAAAAGCAGGGGTGTCACTAGCACGTTAAGAGACCATACAGTAAGTGTCAGGGGCCCGAGACTGTTCAACTGCCTCCCAGCACACATAAGGGGGATTACCAACAGACCCCTGGCAGTCTTCAAGCTGGCACTGGACAAGCACCTAAAGTCAGTTCCTGATCAGCCGGGCTGTGGCTCGTACGTTGGTTTGCGTGCAGCCAGCAGTAACAGCCTGGTTGATCAGGCTCTGATCCACCAGGAGGCCTGGTCACAGACCGGGCCGCGGGGGCGTTGACCCCCGGAACTCTCTTCAGGTAAACTCCAGGTAAACTGTTGTGTGTCTGTACATGTGTTGTTTGTTTCTACATGCGTTGTTTGTCTGCACATGTGTTGTCTGCAGGTGGTGTGTGTCTGCACATGTGTTGTTCGTACAGGTATTGTTTATCTGTACAAGTGTTCAGCATCTGTGTCTGAGTTGTTTGTACATGTGTTGTTTGTCTGTACAGGTGTTGTCTGCAGGTATTGTGAGAGAGATGACAGGTGCCTGGCGGAACACCTGCTGCGACTACTACATCATCCTTGCCCAGGTCAGTCACTTGTTTTTTTCACCTGTGCTTACTAGGAATCCCTGAAAGTGGACCTTACCTTAAGATCCACCTTCAGGGATACCTAACATTAGTATCCACTTTCTCCGATACCTAACATTAAGGCCCACTTTCAGGGATACCTAACATTAAGGTCCACTTTCAGGGATACCTAACATTAAGGTCCACTTTCAGGGGTACCTAACATTAAGGTCCACTTTCAGGGATACCTGACATTAATGTTAGGAATCCCTGAAGGTGGAGGTTAATGTTAGGTGTCCCAGAAGGTGGACCATAATGTTAAGTATCCCAGAAGGTGGACCTTAATGTTAGGTATCCCAAGTAGACCTTAATGTTAAGTTTCTTCTGGTCGGCTTCAGAATATCATTGACGATGGAGAAGCAGTCTACAAGAAGGATGATGCACCATAAAAAGCAAAAAGGCGCAATGAAAATTAGACACATGTGCAACATCTGGGTATCTTTAATTGTTTGACGTTTCGCCATCCAGTGGCTTTATCAATACAAAAACCCTGAACATAATTGGAAGACGGTAAACTACAGTGGAATCTCTGGTCGTGAAAATAATTCGTTCCAAAACTCTGGTCACGACCCGAACCTAATTTCCCCATTGGATTTTATGTAAATTCGATTAATCCGTTCCAGACACCTACGAACTGCATATAAATATTTTTTTAAGATTTTTAACGACAAAAATATTTAATTATACCATAGAATGCACAATGTAATAGTAAACTAAATGTAAAAACCTTGAATAACACTGAGAAAACCTTGAATAACAGAGAAAACTAACATTGCATGAATCCTAAGAGTTTTGAGGGGCGTCTAATGGCTGAGCAGTAAACTCCGTTATTTATCGTCCGATTTCTTTAATTTTTGGTGTACGTTAAGAAGCATCTTTCCATCATATATTGCCCAAGTTCCAAATTTCAATAAGACAGCCCAACAAACAACTGAGAAAAAAATATTTACCAAAAATCATATATGGGAAGCCCAAGCTGGGTACTGGCACTGCGAGAAGCTGTTAGTGCAGTTCCTGCTGATAAAACATTGCTAATCCGAATTTATCACGGACGTGATTACTTTAATTTATGAATAATCAAAGTCTGATAAATCCTTACTTATACAAAATAATGCACAGTTAATAGAGAAAAAAAACTTAAATGACAGAGTTAGTTGTACACAAGCAACAGGAAGAGGGGAAAATTGGTGCATGCAAAAAAAATGGTGCGGAATGTGAAAATTTCCGCGGCTATTTGTTCTGCACCCGATTATGTGTTCGTGACCAGAAGCAAAAATTTTGTGAATTTTTTGGTCGTGAACCGATTTGTTCATGTTGGAAGCGTTCGTGACCAGAGGTTCCACTGTATAACAAAAGATGAGGTAATCAGGTAATCACAGATCTGCGCACACATAAATCACAGCTCTGAACACATAAATCACAGCTCAGCACACATAAATCACAGATCTGCACACATAAATCACAGATCTGCACACATAAATCACAGATTTGCAAACAAATCAAAGAACTGCACACAGAAATCACTGAGACAACACAATAAGTATAAGGGGCGTAGATAAACGGTTCAGAGAACCGACATGTTGATAAATTAGACATGTGTCTAATTTATCAACTTGTCGGTTCTCTGAACCATTTATCCACATTCCTGTTAGACACAGCAGCACCTTGGGATCTTGATACAGGGAATTCTTCATTTGCCTAATCTATAGTCATGACCTACTTCCATCTATGGATTCATCTAGTGTGATATCGCCTACGACTGCTTCATCTCACCTGTCTACAGTATATAAGCCACTTCGCGTATATTGCTAGTATGCTATAAGAAATATATGACAATAAAAAAGGGTACTTATCTTCGGTGATAGCTCAGACCCCCGCGCAGCTGCTGTTCAAGGGATCTCCGAAATGACTGTAGTTCACCCACTGAGGCTGTTGATGATGAGTAACCGGCTTTCAATATTCACCCTAAAAATGTATTTCAGAATGTCAGAATACCCGGAATATAGAGGGATATTCGCACTTGTTATTAGGTGTTCTTTTGCGAATAACCGCTTCAGTAAGGTGGGCCTTGTTCGTACTAACAATGACCTAAATACTGCAGTATGGTAAAGGGGCGCATGTAAGGGGGAATAAGACCTGCTTGGCTCGTTGTAACGGGAGCCCTGTGTCGTTGGAAGCAACACGAAACCGGTATCCATAGCTTGAACGATGTAATGATGAACGGATTGAGTCACTCGGGAAAGTTCGAGGCACATTATCGCTCTTAATCACTCAGGTAAGACACATATGCAACAGTTAGGTATCTTTATTATGAAACGTTTCGCCTACACAGTAGGCTTCTTCAGTCAAGTACAGAAAAGTTGATAGAAGCAGAAGATACTTGAAGACGATGTAATCAGTCCATCACCCTTAAAGTTTTGAGGTGGTCAGTCCCTCAGTCTGGAGAAGAGCATTGTTCCATAGTATGAAACAATATGGAGATGAAGTGACAGGATGGAGCTTTTATAGCGCCATGAGGTGAGACGTAGGCCACTAGGAGAGGTAAGAACTCAGATGTTGAAAGGTCAGGTCCTTCTCAAATCCAGCCGCTCTCACTGGTGGAAGTTGTTGAAGTTGATTGCAGGTCTGTACCAAGATACCCTTGTGTTGCAGTGTCTGACAGATTGAACATTAAAATGGATAAAAATACCGACAGGTTGTTAGGTAAGACACATATGCAACAGTTAGGTATCTTTATTATGAAACGTTTCGCCTACACAGTAGGCTTCTTCAGTCAAGTACAGAAAAGTTGATAGAAGCAGAAGATACTTGAAGACGATGTAATCAGTCCATCACCCTTAAAGTTTTGAGGTGGTCAGTCCCTCAGTCTGGAGAAGAGCATTGTTCCATAGTATGAAACAATATGGAGATGAAGTGACAGGAGGAGCTTTTATAGCGCCATGAGGTGATACGTAGGCCACTGGAGGAAAGAACTCAGATGTTGAAAGGTCGGCCCTTCTCAATCCAGCCGCTCTCACTGGGGAAGTTGTTGAAGTTGATTGCGGTCTGTACCAAAAAAACCTTTTTGGTTCAGTTTTGACAGATTAACATTAAAATGGAAAAAAAATACCGACAGTTTTTTTAGGAAAACACATATAAACAGTTGGTTCTTATTTAAAAACGTTGTACACAGTAGGCTTTCAGTCAAGTACAAAAAATTTTGATAAAAGGGCAGAAAAACTTGAAGACGATGTAATCACCCCATCCCCTTAAATTTTTGGGTGGTCAGCCCCTAGTTGAGAAGAGCTTTGTTCCATAGTATGAAACATTAGGGGAAATGAATGACAGGATGGGAGCTTTTATAGCGCCAGAGGTAACGAAAGGCCACTGGAAGGAAGAACTCAGATTTTGAAAGGTCAGGCCCTTCTCAAATCCAGCCGTCTCATTTGGTAAGTTTTGAAGTTGATTGCAGGTCTTTACCAAGATCCCCTTGGTTGCGTGTCTGACGATTGAAATTAAAAAGGGTATAAAAAACGATAGGTTTTTTAGGTAAGAACATAGAACGTTGGGGATCTTTTTTATAAAAACGTTTCGCCTACACAGAGGCTTTTTCACAAGACGAAAAGTTGATAAAGCAGAAGAACTTGAAACGATGAAGGTTTTATACCTTTTTAATGTTCAATCTGTCAGAACTGAAACCCAAGGGGTATTTGGTACAGCCCTGCAATCAACTTCCAAAAACTTCCCCCATTAGGGCGGGTTTTGAGAAGGCCTGACCTTCAACATCTGATTTTCTTACCCTCCTAGTGGCCTACGTCCACCTAGGCGCTATAAAAGCTCCACCCTGTCATTCATCTCCAATTGTTTCATACTAGGGAAACAATGTCTTCCCCAGACGAGGACTGACCACCCAAACTTAAGGGGTAGGGGACTTTTTACTGTTTTCAAGATTTTCTGTTTCTATCAACTTTTCTGACTTGACTGGAAAAACCCTACGTGTAGGCAAAACGTTTCATAAAAAGATACCAACGTTGCAATTGTCTTACCTAACAACCGTCGGTATTTTATACCTTTTAAAAGTTAATCACTCGGGCACAGGGTACACTCTACTGTCCTTTCACTATTTTTTTTTTTATTTAATTATTATTTAAAAATTGAGCACAATACAGAGGTACAAACAAATACAGGTAAGAGCATATGCCAAAGCCACTTATACTATGCAAGCTTTACGGGGGCTTAAAATTAACTAAGTTTAACTAAGCAATGATGAAATCAGGAAAAAACATTAATGTAAAGGTATATAAAGCACAAGTGAGTAAAAAAAAAGGGAGGTCAATGGTTGTATGCATTTTGTACTTTCAGTAAAGGGAGTTTTCGTTGGGTAGTGTATTTAAAAAATAAAAAAGTTAGTTGGGGTTTTTAGGTTTAACTTTTTGGATATAATTTGAGAAACTTTAAGAATACAATTTAAAAGGGTTCAGTATTCAGTATTTTTTGGGTTTTTGGGTGAGTAAGTGATTTTTGAGAAGAATTTTGAATTTTAAACAGGTAGTGTTTTTCTTTTATTTACAGGTAATAAAATTCCAGTTTTTTTGGGCCCTTTTATTGCATTGATTTTTACATATTGTAGTGGACACGGGAACATAAAAGAGTGATCTGTGCCCTTGTTTTTTGGCAGTGTTTGTTGGTTGGCAAGGAGATGTTTGGGGGAGGGTTAATACAATTTAATTTTTTATTATGAAAAATTGCGTAGTAATATGGTTTTTTGTATGGTGAGGGGGTTTATGTTTTGAATATTGGGTGGAGTGTGCTGCCTAAGTGAGAAATTTATTCAGCTAACTGCATTCTAACTATTCAGGGTTTTTCACCTTAATTTAAACGATCATATGCGTAACACATTGTTTTATACTCATTTAATTTTACCGAGGGATTTCGCTCACTTGCTAGGGACCAATTTAAACTTCGGGTTTCTCTGGAGATATCAATATGATCTACGAATGCACACATCCTGTGTCTCTTTCTTCACGGGAGGGTTTTCGCATTTGCGGGCCCCTCTGTGACACTTTCACGCCTTGGATTTGTCGCAATTTGACACTCCTTGCCCCGGCCCCCTTTTCCAGGGGATCGCGACTCTGTCTTTTGGACATTTATTCCCACCTTGCAAAAAAACACAACATAAAAATCAGTGCTTTTGGTGTTCTAGGCGGGGGTTAGGGAGCCGTAAACCCCTATTTGATTATCGAGTGGGATTTTTAAAATTTAAAAATTTTAATAACCATGAGAAAATGCAGCCCCAATTTTCCATCGTGTTACGGGTGGGCATGTATTTGGGTGAGGAGCAGTGTTTCTTGTTATCTCGCCCAAACCAATGTTTCAATTAATTCGGGTGGGAAAAAGGGAAAGAAAGCCTTACAACTCCCCTTCAGGGGGGGGATATCCCCCTTCTAACCGGGGGTTTTTCTCCCACTTTTCTGTATTTTTTTTTCAAGACTGAGGGGACTGTAATGCGACTCCAGGCTGGGGGGTTGATTACCCAATCCCCTTATGTTTTCACGAATCTTCTTTGAAAAGGGACTGATAAACCCACTGTGTGGCGAAACGTTTCCCAATAAAAAACCCCAAAGTTTTTGCACATGCGTCAAATTTTTATCAAGTGTAAGGGCCCCAGGATTATTCATAGCCCCCCATGATGAAATACAAACTCTTTTAAAAAAAACGGTTCCATATACCCTGCGATATTTTATTTTTCCCTTAAAAATTTGAAAAAAAAAATCCTATCCAAAAATTGACTATCACCTAATATGAAAAACTTTTCCCGGGTGTACCCAAACCCTTCATGAACTTTTGTCTTAAATGCACTTAAAAAAAAAATATCATAGGCTATAAAAAAATAAATGAGAAAGGGGGTTGGATTTAAGTGTGATTTAACATAGTTTTTAAAGTCTTTTCATTGGTAATTGAAAATGGGTTGGGCGATTACTTTTATTAGGGGGTTTGGGTTTGGAAAAAGACTGCCTGTAGGGGCCCCGTAGGCCTGTGTAGTTGGGTTTAAAGACACATGTGCAACTTTTTAGCTCCAGGGAGCTAAACTTTCTCCAGGCTGGGGGACTGCCCACCTCAAGTACTTTTTTCTCCGGGGTGATGGACGATTACTCTCTTCATTCATTACTGCTGCTCCTGATTTGAGAAAAGCCTACTGTGTAGACAAAAATTTCATCAATAAAGACACCCAACTTTTAAACGTGCTTTAATCTTCAATTTGCGGTATTGTATACAATTTTTAACCAGCCTTTCAGCATGCTCCCCCTTTTTATGTTTTTTACTGGACAGCTATATAAAGAGTTTACCGAATAAGTTATGTTTTGTGGAAGAACTGCTGGGTGAGTAGCTGCGGGACTCGACGACGAGCCGGGACTGGAAAGGGCGGTACGTCATGTTCTCTCTGTCATCTTCCTTGATCTTAGGATAGCAACGTTTTACAAGCTGCAGAAATTTCTTTTCTTTTATCATGTAAGTCCCCTTCATGAATCACAAGTAACTTTCGTTCATGCTTGCAACTGTGAAAAATTACAAAATCACTGACCGAATCCCCCTTTAAGATTAAGATTCATTCACAGATCTACGATCTGAAAAATAATTAAGAAATTGAGTGGCAAACCCACAATCTTATCTTTAACTAAAAAAAAATAAACGTTTGTCAATGCTCAAAATAACCCACATGGAGATATAAACGCAAGAGGTTGATTTTTGTATTTTCGACCCCCCTTCACGCTAAAGGGGACCCAAAAGGGGGGCAAAAGAAACAGATTAGTCAACCTCCTGTGCTGTTCCAGTGGGTTATTAATGACAAAATTTCTTTAAAATTACAAAGAATTCTTTTGCAAATGTAGAGGGGTCCCTACGCACCATTTTTTGAGAACACAGGGGGTCCCATAGCGGACCGTTAGAACACAGGGGGTCCCAATGCACCATCTGTTAAAACACAGGGGGTCCATAACGCACCTCTGTTAGAACCGGGGGTCCCATAGCTGCCCCATCTGTTGAAACAAGGTGGTCCCTACGACCTCTGTTGAAACACAGGGGTCCCATACTCACCACTTTTGAAACACGGGGTGGTCCCATAGGCACCCATTGTTTTAGAACACAGGTGTCCCAAAAACGCACCATCTGTCGAAAACCAGGGGCCCCCATGTGCACCATCTTTGAGAACAATGGCCCATAGCTGCACCATCGCTGAGAACAAGGTGGTCCCATAGCTGCCCATCGTCTAGAACACAGGTGGTCCTAGCTGCCCCATCTGTCTGAGAACACAGGTGGTCCCATAGCTGCCCCATTGTCTAAAACCCACGGTGTCCCAAGCTGCACCATCTGTCTAGAACAAGGGGTCCTAGTGCCCCACTGTCTGAGAAACGGTGGTCCCAAGCTGCCCATCGTCGAGAAAAAGGGTGGTCCCTAATGCACCATCTGTCTGAGAACGGGGTCCCATAGCTGACCACTGTTGAGAAACAGGGGCCCCATACTGCACCTCTGTTGAAAACACAGGTGCCCCATACTGCACCTCTGTTGAGAACACGGTGGCCCATACCCGCACCATCTGTCTGAGAACACATTTGGCCCCCATACCCCCATCTGTCTGAGAACAAGGTGGCCCATAGCTGCCCCATTGTCTGAGAACACAGGGGTCCCATAGCTGCAAACTTTTGAGAAAAGGGTGGCCCCAAGCTGCACCACTTCTGAGAACACGGGTGGCCCCCATAGCTGACCATCTGCGGGAAACACGGTGCCCCCATACGCACCACTGTCTGAGAAACAGGTGGCCCCCAAGTTTCCCCATCTGTCGAAAAAAGGTGGCCATAGCTGCACCATTGTTGAGAACACGGTGGTCCAAGCTCACCACTGTTGAGAACACGGGTGGTCCCATAGCGCACCATCTGTCTGAGAACACAGGGGGTCCATAACTGCACATGGCTATTAAAAACAAAGCTTCCCTCACTTTTCCCAACAAACATAACCGACAAAAGGCCAACCAAAACAATACAGAAGTCAGTCAAACACACACTTTATTGTTCCACCTACAAAGATAAGGTGACTCTTTTTTGTCCCCTTTCCTCTATTTTACATTTTCCAGCCAAAAATTTCACTGAAAAACCGCGTCACTGCTACACTTTGTTACCGTCATACTCTCTCCCTCTGCTCGAGCAATATTTCCCCGATTGCTGTCGCCAGCCCTGCTCAGTACAGTCAGACACCCCACCCAAAGGCTTTTCATAGGCGTTTACTTAAAACAGTTTTCAAAGAATTATTATGTCTTACTGTTTCCTAAAGTTTTTTTTAAAACCCCAATTTGTTGGAGTCTGTTACCAAAGTAGCTTACTTTAATAAATGAACGTGACCTCTTTAAGTGATTATTAATTATGGATCGTCAGTAGTCAAAGCGGAGTAAACTCGAAAACTTTTTTTTCCCTATGAGTGCTGTAAAACCCCCTGTGGTTAGCGCTTTTTTTTTGATAAAATAATAAGAATCTCGTAAGTGCATGTTGTTGTAAGCTGTATAACAAGTGTTTAACTAAGTATATGCAGTGAAAAACAAAAAAATGGTAACTCCAGAAACAGAAGTTTTAAGGGTTTTATAATCGTAACCCATAATTTTTAAAAAGGGGGCAGAGGCAACCCAGGGGAAGGCCTCGGTCAGAGGCTAAAAGCCCCACTGGGGCATCATAGATAAGACCAGCTTCAGGAAACACTATTTTGTTTCCTATAAACCCCCAAAGCTAACCGTACAGGATGCTACGATACCAAACATAAAATTATCTTCTTTACGTTGTTGTATTCCTTGTCGGCGGTGATTCACGCGCTCACGTTCTGATAAGCTGACCTGACCTTTGCAGATTAATGTTCATTCTTTTTTGGCTTAATGATTGCAGCCCAGCTCTTGCAATGGGTTTCCCCTTACAGTGCAATGCAGCATTTCATCATTGTAACATTACAGGCTAGTGTAGCATTTCACGCTATGTAGCTTACAGTGCTATGAGCATTACACTGCTAGTGTACATTTCACTGCTAGGGAGCTTTAGTCAGTGTGATTACAGTGCTATGTAGCATTACACTGCTAGTGTGCTTTAATGCTGTTGCATTTCGGGTATGTAGATTCACGCATGTACATTCACTGCTAAAGTAGCATTCACTGCTAGTTTACATTACAGTAGTTACATTACCTGCTAGGTAGCATTACACTGCAGTGATTTTACACTGTAGTGTAGCATTACCGCTAGGTACATTACACTGCTAGTGTGCATTTAAAAAGATTGTAGATTACACTGCTTTGGGTTGCATTTCAGCTGTGTAGCATTACAGCTAGTGTAGCATTACACTGTAGGGTTTTCATTACACGTAGTGTAGCATTACACTGCAGTGAAAATTACAGCTATTGTAGCCTTACATGCTAGTGTAGCAAATTAACTACTAAATGTTGCATTAACTGCTAGGTAGCATTAAATGCTATTTAGCATTACACTGCGTGTACATTACACTGCTAGTGTAGAACAGCAAATGTAGCATTACACTCTAGTGTAGCATTACAGTGTAGGTAGCTTTTCCTGCTAGTGTAGCATTACATGCAGTGTACATTACACTGCTATTGTGCATTTCACTGCAGTGTACATTTCAATGCTAGTGTAGCATTAATGCATGTACATTTTTGTGTGTGTGCATACATGCTATGGCATACGTGCTAGTGTAGCATTCAGTGCTAGTGTAGCATTACACGTATGTAGATTACAGTGCTAGTGTAGCATTTCATGCAGTGTAGCATTTCGTGCTAGTGAGCATTCACTGCTAGTGAAGCATTACATGCTATTGTTGCAATACATGCTTGTACATTACAGTGCTATGTACCATTACTCTGCTTTGTAGCATTCCTGCTAATTAGATTACACGCTAGTGTACTTACACGAGTGTAGCATTACGTGCTATTTTAGCATTACAGTGTAGTGGCATTCAGTGCTAGTGTAGCATTACATGTAGTGGAAACATTCAGGTGTGTAGCATTACATGCATTGTAGCTTACCTGCTATGGCTTCATGCAGTGTAGCTTTTATGTGTGTGCATCACACTGTAGGTTTTGCATTACCCCTGTAGGTGATTACACTGCTAGTGTGCATTACACTGCTAGTGTAGCTTACACGCTATTTTACATTACACTCTAGGTACATTACACGCTAGTGTAGCTTACACTGAAGTTTTAGCATTACAGCCATGTAGCTTACATCTAGTTACTTGTAGGTAGTATTACACTCTAGGAGCTTTTTACTGATGTGTACATTTCATGCTATTAGCATTCAGTGTAGTGTAGCATTACAGTGCAATGTCCATTACACTGCAGTTAGCATTTTACTGCATGTAGCATTTTCCTGTATGTGCATACCTGTATTTAGCATTTCACTGCAGTTAAAATACAGTGCTAGTGTACCATTACCTGCTAGTGTAGCTTACACTGCTAGTGTGCATTTACACTGCTAGTAAACATTGCGCGAGTATTACACTGCTATGGCATTACACTGCTAGTGTAGCATTACCCTGCAGTGTAGCATTACACTGCTAGTGTAAAATTCACGTAGTGTAGCATTACACTGCTATGTAGCATTTTAAATGCTAGTTAGCATTACACTGTATGTAGCATAACCTGCTAGTGTGCATTTCTGCGGTATTTCATGTGTGTGATTTCCGCTAGTTTGCATTACCTGCTAGTGTAGCATTAATGCTATGTGTTACACTGCGTTAGCATTTCAACCCAGTTAACATTCACGCTAGTTTCATTACACGTATGTAATTCCTGCTAGTGGCAATACATGGAGTGTAGCATACACGCATGTAAATTACACTGCTAGGTGCATTACCTGCATGTTTTTTTAAAAAAACAAAAAATTACACTGCTGTTAGAAAATCATGTAGTAAAACTTACTGCTATGTAGCTTACAGCTAGGTACAAACACTGCAGTGTAGCATTGCTATGTGATTACACTGCTATGAGATAACAGGGTATGTACTTCAGTGAAAAAAAAAAAATTTAAAAATTACAGGCTTGTGCATTACATGCTAGTGTAGCATTTAACCCCAGTTAGCATTCCTGCTAGGGGTAGCTTACACTGCTAGTGTACATTACAGCTATTTTTAATTACACTGCTAGGTTCATTACACCCCTTTGAGCATTACATGTAGTGTAGCATTTCAGCTGTGAGATTTGTAGTGTACATTACATGCTAGTTACATTTTTACGTGTAAAACAGCTAGGTACTTCCTGCGTTTTTATTACATGCAAATTGCATTACATGCTAGTTACATTACACTGCTATTTTGATTACAGGGTAGGAGCATTACACTGCTAGTGTAGCTTACATGCTAGTGTAGCTTACAGCTAGGTACTTACACGGGTAGTGTAACATACACTTAGTGTAGCTTACTGAAGGGAACTTACACTGTTTTTGGGAGATTACATGCTGGTACATTTAAATGTAGTATAGCATTACATGCTGGGGACTTCCTGCTAGGTTTTGCATTACCAAACAGGGTAAAACACTGTGGGGTACTTACACTGCAGTGTAACATTACACTGCGGTTAACATACATTTCTGGGGTAACATTACATGAGTTCATACACCCGTTTACAAAAGCTATTGTATTTACATATATGTAGTATCATTTGTACCCCCGCTTTAGAATACAGTATGTGATTAAAAGGTAGTGTAGCATTTTCCTGCTATGTACATTACACTGCTGTGTAGCATTACATGTAGTGTGCATACAGCTATGAGCATTAAAAATGCTATTAGCATTTCAGTATGTAAAATACAGCTAGTGTGCATTACACTGTAGGTGATTACACTGTATGTACATTACACTGTAGTGTAGCTTGCTAGGTAGTTTTCCTGCTAGTGTAGCATTACATGTGTGTACATTTCTACGTAGTATTTCCCTGCTAGTGTAGCATTACACTGCTAGTGGTTTTCTGCTAGTAATCAACTGCTAGTGACATTTCACTGCTAGTGTAGCAAACTGTATTTTAGCAACACTGCAGTTCTACATTTCTACGAGAATTACACGCTAGGGAGCTTTCACTGCTAGTTTAGCATTCCCGCTGTTTAAATTTCCTGCTATGTAGCTTACACTGCTAGTTTTACATTACACTGCTAGTGAGCATACCTCTAGTTTAGCATTACACTTTAGTTAGCATTTCATGCAGGTAGCCCCCCCCCCCCGCTAGTTTCCCTACACGCTAGGTACATTTAAACCGGGGATTCAGAGTGACTTTTCACTGCTAGTGTACATTTTCACTGTA